TCACTATATAAAATGTTTCTATCATGAAGAAATCGTGATAGCCGCTGCTCAGAGCCCGCGGAGAGAAATTTTCAAAAAAATCGCAATTCCGTATCCAAAATATTGCCTTTTGCATAATTCCGTGAAAATGGGAAAAAAGTTTTTTGCCTTACGTGACCCGGTCCGGTACTTCCAGCCGCAGCGGCAGGCGGGATTTTCCGAGAGGAACTGGAGGGTACTTAGTGGCGTGAGCAACGCAGGGCGTATTGGCCACGGGCTATGAAGTCCTATGCTGAATAGGATGATTAGCAACAATAATCTTGAGACTTGTAAACATTTCCGGAGTCATTGTAGTAGATAATCATGTGGGGTGCCCATTTGTGCTTCCCAGTTATGTTGCAGCTTATTGATACATCACACTCCACGACTGTTTTCCCTAACTGGTGATAGAAATTGATCGCAACCGCAGGGTTTGAGGCAATAAAGCAATAGTGTTATTCATACTTCAGGAATCAGTCACTGAATGAGTCTTGTAAGTTGTGTTCATCCGGACAGTTACGGTAGTAGTGGTCGCCTTCAAAGCCCCAGGTGGCCATGAGGCTATAAAGCTCATCAAATACTTCAACATCCTGTACTGATGACATTGAAGGAGAAGTCGTGTCGGGCGTGTCGACGTGCTAGCTACCCACTCACTGGACTGATCATGACTGCGGGGCTTCAAAATGTCTCTGCCGCTGCGGCTGGAAGTACCGGACCGGGTCACGTAAGGCAAAAAACTTTTTTCCCATTTTCACGGAATTATGCAAAAGGCAGTAGTACGAGGAACAAATTACTTGTGTCCCTTTACATAAACACCTTGGTCATCATTTGCTTCTGACGGCACACAACAATGGCTTTTAAGCGCCAACCTTGTGGTGCTCGCATGGAATTCAACTACTTACAAGCTGATCCATTCTAGGGTTCAAACGCTAACAACCAGCGGGCCCCGGGGCTTGGGATACGAAAGTCCTCCGTATGGTAAGCCCACTATATCGCTCAGAGCCTCGTGATTTCAACTTCCAAGTGATCCTTACAGTCATGAATGTAGGCTGAAACACGGTGTGCGGGCTGGAGGGCGTTCACAACGGAGGTGTTCAACTCCTTCCGACAAACTTCCGAAGGTGTAAACTTGGTCCCTACTTCCTGAATGGTATAAAAGGTGCCCAGGTCGCTCGAACGTACCCCAAGCAACTGCTCTCATCTGCAAGTCACTGTTCTCATCGCGCTATGATTTCGTCTACTTTCCTCCTCATCGCCGTTTCTCTGCTCGCGTCTACTGTAAATGCCGTGTCCGTGAAGCGCGCGGTTACTCCTCTTCCCGCTAACGGGAAATGGGACTACCAAATTGGAGGGCCGTACACCCCCGACAGCAATGTTGCCGTCGTCACTCGGGATCGTACTTCCACTCCAGTTTCCGGGAAATACAACATTTGCTACGTCAACGCGTTCCAATCGCAGCCAGATCAAGCGTCACACGACTTTTGGCTCAACGGTGAGATCGTCCCATCATTTTATACAGTCTCCGCATTCTACTCACTTGAAACTTGCTAGATCCCACGAGAAACAACCTCATTCTCAAGAACTCTGCTGGTCAACCCTACGAAGACGAGGGGTGGCCAGGCGAATACTATTTCGACACCAGGACGGCCGACAAACGGCAGGCGCTGGCTAACATTGTCAACGGATGGATTGACGAGTGTAAGCAGAAAGGTTTCAACGCCATCGAGCCCGACAATCTCGACACGTTCACTCGGTCGGACGACCTCCTTTCCGAGAATAATAACCTAGACTACGCCAAACTTCTCGCTGATCATGCACACGCTACCGGAGTGGAGCTGGCCTTTGGTCAGAAGAATGCCGGGGGCGAGCTGGAGGGCAGAGGAAAGGCGAGAGTTGGTTTCGATTTCGCCATCGCGGAGGAATGCCAGGCCTTCGATGAATGTGATTCCTACACCGATGTGTATGGAAACCAGGTCCTTGAGGTCGAGTACTTCAATTCCGAGGTTCCTAACAACGGACGAGGGAATTTCACAGCAGCGTGTACTGCACGTGGAAGTCGAATTTCGGTGATCTTCAGGGATGTTTTCGTAGTGCCGAGAGGATCTTCGGGATACGTGTACGAAGAGTGTTAGTTAATCTGTAGGCAATGGCATCAAGGATGTACAAGAATAATTAAGGAACCGAAAGCAGTGATACGTGAACAGAACAAGCAGAAGGAGTTACTATTGTCGATACCTCTATGAGAAACCTGCCACTGGCGCCTAAGCACCCGATTCTGACCCAAGAGTTTTCCAGGCCTAATTTTATGGAGAGCCACCTCGAAGCCCTGCATTCTCGCAACTTCCCGGTCCCGTAACTTGATTGAAGATCTGGGCTAATCAGTTCATCTTCCGTGTATCCCGCCAGCCCAAATTGACCTTCCCGCCCGATTCCCGCCCCTAATAAACCCTCCATATTTACGCGAAGCCGCCCTGCTAGGGGTATTCGGGATAGCACTGGCACTACATACTTACCACATACGTGGAGGTGTCAATTCACCGACAACGGGACGCTCGCTAGACCTGATCTGACCCTGAGACAGGGACTGAGTATAAAAACGATGTCGGAAGCTAGGGAAGTAGACTCACACACTCCAATCATGAAATCCTTCGCCCCTATCTTCGTTCTTGTCGCGTTGGTGGCCGCTCAAAGCCCTCGTATGCTCCAATACCTATCAAGCAAGTCCGAATACGACTGACCTGTCTTATTGTTGCAGCTCAAATTGCGAAGAACGCGTGCAAGGGCAAATACGAGGGGGATCATTGTACTTACCAGGTGGATAAACAACCAGTCGCGCAAGGGAGTGAGTTAGAGATCATCACTTTCCTCGACACAGAATGGTGCTGATTGTGAGCCAATCTATCTAGCTTGCCAAGTCCAGCCCGTCCCAGGCGGGGAGCTGTGCTGCTTCTCCACATCGCCAAACTTTTGTTACAAGTAGTCGTATGAATATTCGGTCTCCCAGTTAAAGAACACCTATTGTACTACTTATTGGCAACGCGTCGCTGTGCATCATGAATATTTCCTTGGAAAGAGGCTCACCCAACCGTATAGAGATGCGGCATTAGAAGCCCCAGGGGCCAGGGGTAAAACCATATACGACAGAAGTACGGAATCTGGGTAGGAACAAGCTTACATCCGATATATGGATTGTTCCGCTCGGATTCTAACGTGAGAGAACGACGTTAGGAGACACAAGTGGCTTTCCACATAGTCGATGCACATGCCATTAACACAGGGGGATGCACTGGGCTGTCCAGAACTGCGGGTTCCGGGGTATGCAGTGACTTCTAAAATTGAGGTTTAGGACACTGGGTCGAAGTTACGAGAGTCAAGCAATAAAAGGACTCTCGTACCTGCACGAGACCGGGCCTGGAGCAACGATATCCTGTCTTACGAAGGCGAGGTTCCTTGTTACCCTGCTCACGACGATGGCATCTGCACGTCGGGCCCGATTCTTCGGTTATCGGTGAACCGTAACATGGGGAAAGGTCACGGCAGAGATGAGGAGGGTGAGAGCGAATTTTGACGTTGCCAGGTTCCAGAACGAGAGCCTGAGGGTTTAAGTAATCTCTCATACTCCGAGTTTTGCGCCAAGTGTCCCGGCAGCTCAGGCCGAGCTCCTGTTGTAGAATGAACGAAGTGGGTCTCGGTCTTCGGCGAGGAATAAGGATTCCTGGACCCATCATGTATAGATTCTGGGGTAGGCCCTAACTTTGACAGGCGTGTAGACACGGATTCCAGTTATGCATGAATGTCTGCCCACCCCATGCCCGATTCTGGCTCGATTCAACCCCCATTGCACACTTAAAGCCCCACGAAAAGGGAAACATCGCCTTCGATAAGCTTGTTACAAAGCGACCGTTGCATTCTCCGTGCTTGAACCCGATGCTTGGAGTCTGTGAAACATTGGAACGATTGAATGCGTTAGTTTTAGACCGTATCGGGCAAAGAAAACCGAGGGGGAGGTGTTCGGCTCCGGAAGGGAGGTCGCGGTTCGAAGGGAAGAGACTCGGTACCCGAGAGAAAGCTCGTGCCGTTATACATCCGCCGTCTGGTCTGCATTGGCTTCATGATCCATAGATAAAAAAGGAATAGTTTGATCGATGCCCGCCTAGCTCAATCGGATAGAGCGTCACACTCTTACTAGCGGGTATCTGAAGGCTGCGAGTTCGACCCTCGCGGTGGGCTATTGCCTGCAATAGTTGATTGTTTTTTTTTTCAACAACAGGTAAAGACAACAACTAAAAAGTCCCGTCACCTGTGCGATTCGAACACACGCGCTCGAAGAGCAACCGCTCAATACGACTCTCGAATGGAATAGCAGGCGATCCCGTTAACCACTCCGGCAAAGTGACCTGATAGTCATGCATCAAGAGCCGGTAGGATGACCTCGACTCTACCCTCAGCCCCCGGCCCCATGAGTAGAGTAAGAGAGAAGGGCCGTCTTCCTCACGACCTAAGGGTACCGGCTCTCATCACGCTGAAAGTCATGGGGACCTCCGGGTGGTTCAACGCCACTGTAGTTGATAGTAAAAGTTTGCATGAGGTCGACCAAACCATGAGCTCCAGCAAATGTTGCTCGAAGCAGAAGTGCGCACCCGGAGCGAACCGAAACGCCCTCAAAGATATCACCAATATCTACACAAAGCTCCCTTTTTCATGTCAGAATTATTCGAAGAGAAACAATGAAATGATTTCAAATGGCTGACTACTCAGCCAGTAATCCTTGCGGGCCCTCAGATAAGAGATCTTCACTCCGACAATTGGGAGGCGTAAGGATTACAGGTGCCTGGCGTGACGGCAAGTACATATACATGTCTCAGTCTGCCCAACCTTGTGTCCTGATACTTAGATGAGGTTGAGTTTATACTAACAGGATACAGCCATTGTTTTTCAAGAGGAAGGCGTGTTATGAATGGAAACCTCTATTTACTTCCAAGGTCACTTTGCCGGAGTGGTTAACGGGATCGCCTGCTATTCATCAACGTCCGTGAGATTGAATTGGCATCTAGCGGTTGCTCTTTGAGCGCGTGTGTTCGAATCGCACAGGTGACGACTGTTTTTGGTCTTCCTCGCGTTAGCTTTCCTCACTCAAGAAAGGTTGATCTTACCATCACGGCCGCGACGACGAAAGAAGAAAGGGTACCAGCACTACGACTGGAATCCGGTACAACGATCTACATACGCTAAAATATACAAATCCACCCACGGACACATAACTAGATTACGAATGCTCTCCAGCTTCTACAGCCCGAAGAACACGCCAAACATCAGGAGACTCATACCAACAACCAACAGTGCTACTGCAATACGGATACCCATAATCGGGTGCATCGAAAACGATAGCGCGCCGTTCCCTTGTGCAGCTTCCGAATTCGGGTTACCTGGATCGTCGGAAGGAGGTGCGGATGTGCTCGATGCCAGTGGAGAGCCAGTACCAGTAACGTCGGTGCTCCCAGTCACACTACTACCATCACTGCTGACTGGAGATGAAGCCTCGCTAATAGCACTAGATTCGCCGGAGGCGGCAGTTTCAGTCTGCGATCCTGACTCTCCGCCCTCACCGGCACCCTCCGACTTGTCGGGGGCGTCCGTCGAGGTGGGTTGCTCATCACCAGCAGTAGGTGTCCCTGAGTACATTGTGATCGAGCTGGCGGGATACATGGGGTATTCAGCCTTGGTGTGTTTGGGAGTCGACGTCGTAGTGCACGAAGTTGAGGTCTCTGAGCGAGTAGTAGTAGTCGTGCAAGGCGTTGATGTCGAAGTATGATGACTCTCCATGCCAGTAACGTGAATGGTTCGGTGGCCAGCTGGAACATCGTTCACTAAGCATTCCACCACATAAGCTTCGGTAAAGGTGTTCAGATTAGTACTTCAACTCGTCCAGGGAATCGGAAGAAAGGGCATCTCACAATCAAGATATTTCTGAGCTTTCTCCTTGTCCTGAACCTCGCGTGTCCCTACGCAGTCGAGGCACTTTACCAACGAGTCGATGAGCTTCTCGTCGCATAAGCATCTCGAGTCCGTACCACATGACTGGATCAGAATACGTTAGTATTCGAAGGCAAATGTTAGAAACACGCACCTCGTTACTCATGACGGCATTCTCGCAGGGGGACTTGCATTCCGGAGCTCGAGAGTAGTCCGGAGAAGGTAAACGTTTGCCTCGGGTTTGTCGTTGACGACTCGACTTCAGACTACTCAATCGAAGTAGTGAATCCTCGAAGGATTTGGAGGCTGGCTGTGACTCCGCGATGACCGCTGGAGGAACACATAGCCGTCAGGATACTGAATGAGAGACACTCGGAAACCTGACTCACCCTCGGAAACGACCAGAATCAGAAGGGAAAGGAAGATAGCCACTGAGGAAACCATAGTCGACAGGAGACTAGATGAATAAACCTCAAATTCAGAACGTGAGGAAATGGCTACTCAGTCTCTCGGAGACTGGGCCAACGAAAAGTCAGGGGAAGTGGAAGGAGGGGGTGAACCTAGCCACGGGCTACCATTGCTTATACATGCCCCTCATGAATTTATACATGGAGAGATGGCTTGCATTCCAGACGCAGATCCATCAGTTCGCGCCCCACCTGGCTTGATACAAGTGTGACCTGTCCCAGTAGCAACTCATTCGTCCGAGGATGTTTTCACCGCTTTGATCTGTTAGTCCTTGTGCGTGTCCTTTGTACAACAAGCCACTGCACTGCCAGGTTGTGTGGAGTCGTTTGGGAGGGTAACAACCGGGAAGACGAATTGATTGTGCTAAATGGTTGACGGATGACATTTCCGAAGATCACTCGTGGGTGGCGGTCAATGCTCCCACGGATTGCTAGCTGCTACGCTTGGGCTTGATGACAGAAGTAGGCTGGGCCTTGCCGACGTTTTGAGCATTCAGTGATTGGAATTCGGTTGGTTGTGTGATAGCTATGAGTCGAACCTGAGACGAGCTCCTGCGAGATGAATAGTTGCTAGCACAGAGTGACGGGGCCACTGCCAAGATACCTTGATGCTCCGACAATCTGTCGAAGGCCATTGATTCAAGAGGAGCAACTACTGTAGTAGCGAGCCAAGGGGTCACTTCTTTTGGTTTTGGATCAACCCTATCAATGATTGAAATCGTTGTTCTGGGATTGAGCCGAGTCTGTGCCAAAAGAGCTGAAGAGTGTATGGCTAATGAGACCTTTGGCTTCAGGCGTCGTCAGTGAAGGATTGTGAGTGAGAGAAGCGCGTCAAGGGGAGACGTGGTCCGTGCGCCGTACGGCTGTCGATCGAGGGGCTGTGTAACTACTGTGCAACTATTTGATCCGGGATCCCGATGACGCGGATCTACGCGAACTCTCAACACGACGTTGAGCTTGTCTCGAGCTCTTTCTTACCCTCCGAGTCTCTAGCGACGCTAACGGGGCTTATAGAGGGCCAGTGTTGAATGACCAGGATTTTTGAGCGATCAGTGTAAGTTACTTGATGTGTTCTAAATGAAGAGACCGCTTCGATTTCTCATCATGCCCAACAGACTATACTCTATCATGATGCATGAGACATGTTACAAGCATTCTACGGGCGAATATAACTTGTTTGGACTTCATTGCTGCTAGCCGATGTGCTTTACTTCGTCTCCAATCACCAGCACGCCGTACACCCACAACTTCTGATTCACAACTCAACTTGAACCCAACGTTCAGTTGCTTCGCCCTGTGAACAGTCCACAATGCCAGACGGTAAATGAGAAGGTCTCCCAACGCTGTGAGCTTTCTCATCTTCATATCGAACGATTTTCACAGATCTGAGTCAGACACGGTTATATCTTCCCAGCTCGGGCTGCCCCACCGTGCACACTGTTGCACGAAGCTCACGAGGTCACCCAAGAACAGAATGACGTGCGGAGATCAACAAGTTTATTCCAGACGCTCACCTCTCCACGATTGAAACACTCCATGACATTCCATACTGCATCATACAAGCCTAGAATCCTCCCCCTTACCCGTACGTCATAATTAGCATCATGTTCTTCCTCTTCTTACAATCCTATAAAACGCAGAGCTATCGCGGTCGATAGTAGTCCAAATTTGAACAACAATGCAAGCTGTAGCTAACAAATTCCAAGAGGTGCGTTTCACAAATTTTACAACGGCCCGGATCGAGTAACTGACGTTCAAACAGAAACTGGGCACCGTGCCCACCGAAATCCATCCGGAATACAAAGAGGCTCCCGGAGGAGAGAAAATGAAAGCTCTGGCATGGTTCGGAACTAAAGACGTTCGAATGATCGATGCACCAGTCCCAGATATCACAGAGCCCGACGACGTTATCCTGCAAGTGACTGGTTCAACGATCTGTGGGTCTGACTTGCATCTGTGAGTGCCATGATTTCCATCACGAATCACAACTTCTCAGGCTTATCGCGGCGTTTTTAGATATCACGGAGAAATAATGGCGTTGCAACAGGGAGATATTCTCGGTCACGAAGTGAGTAGCCTATTCTAGTGGACTTGGTCGCTGTTTCCCTGACCTTGGGCGATACACAGTTCATGGGCAAAGTTCACAAACTCGGACCGAACGTGAAGAACCTCAAAGTCGGCCAACGAGTCGTCGCATCATTCCAAATCGCCTGCGGAACATGCGAGTACTGTCAGAAGAAGCTCTCGTCCTTCTGTGACCGGACCAACAACTCCTCGTAAGCTTTTCCCTCTCTCGATCATTACCTTCGTCCGACAATGAACGCGACCTCAGACTCCAGAATTACATGTACGGCCAGCGTGACGCAGGCTTCTTCGGATACTCCCACTTCACCGGCGGATTCCCCGGTGGTCAGGCAGAATACGTCCGGGTACCATTTGGGAACGTCAACCTCCTCCCTATACCAGACGACGTGTCGGATGAGCGCGCACTATACTTGTCGGATGTCCTTCCTACCAGTTATCATACCGTGGTCGACACTGGGGTGAAGAAAGGCGACGTTGTCGGTATTTGGGTACGTTCTCTCTCGTGCATTTGTCCTGTGGCAACGATAACTGACAATACTGTCATTACGTAGGGTCTTGGGCCGATAGGTCAATGCGCCGCTCGATGGGCTTTGCTCAAGGGAGCTTCTCGTGTCATCGGTATCGACAGTGTACCTTCACGATTGGCATTCGCACGTGAAAAGTCGGGGATCGAGACCATCGACTTCCGTGAACACACCGATATACCCAAGCGGATATACGAGCTCGTACCAAGGGGGTTGGATGTAGCATTGGATTGTGGTACGGATCATCTCTCGCCTTCCTCTCACTGCCTCATGGGTCTCATTCCGCTACGCCCGTTATGTAGGAACGTTCCACGAGCCCAAGACATTACTCCATAAAGCTCAGAAAGCTCTCATGCTCGAGACTGACGTGCCGGAGACGATAAACGAGATGATCGTCTCTGTGCGAAAACAGGGCAGCTGTGGTATCATCGCCGCCTACGCTGGTTTTGCGAACGGCGTCAACGTCGGCGCGTTGATGGAGAAGGGTGTTAGGTGAGAGTAGCTTTCTCTTATTTAGTTCACATTAGCTCATCCACCCACCCACGATTAGGTTAATTGGAAATGGACAAGCACCCGTTCATCTATACTGGGAAGAGATATTGAACGACTATATCAAGACGAAGAAGTTTGATCCTACATTGTACGGCTTTTCTCTACCGCTTCCTTCTCGTTCGCTCACGTTCTCACAGCATGATTACGCACCGAGTACCCCTCGAAGATATGGCCAAGCTGTACAACGCTTTCGATAAGAGGCTCGACAACGTCGAGAAGGTGTTTGTGGAGACCAAGTTTTCGTCTCCGGCGGATGTGGAAGGAATCGGGTGTCCTGGGTTGAAGAGGGTGGATGACTGGGGCGTGTAAGACTTAAGGAGGAATTAATAACGGATTATCCGACGTTATGGAAGTGTAATAGTAATAGTAGTACCCTTGTATGTTCACCTGAAATGGAAGGAAGGGAAAGATTTTTGATAGTATCGAATCTGGCGATGATTTGAGAAAGAATTGTCCCTGGTATACCCCGATATATGACACAGTCTAAGGCACGCTT